CAATAATTCAATTTCAAAACAAATTTGAAGTGAAACATGTTGTAGCTCTATTTAGTAACATCGGAAGATATAATTAACAAAATTTAAATTTAATTGCGCCGCAGATCATATGGACAGGGCGAAAGATGTCTGTGATGCATAAGACGGATATGGCATGTTGGAAAATCTAACGTCCTTAAGATCTAGTCTTGTGCAGAGATTAAAATAGAGCTACGGTCACTGAATATAGATTCTATATTATGTTATAATTAGGCATACAAGGTATTAATACAATTGATAAACTCGTCGATAAGCCGTCGATTTGTCCGCCAATCGAATGTATTAAAGGAAAGAATAAAAATAGTAGAATATATCCGATTTGATGTGAGAAAATTAAACTTATACATATTTCCAGACTAAATAAATAATAGATGAAACTCAATTAATCAAATCGAACAATTCCAATTGATTTAACTTATAACATTGACGTTCATCTTGTATATTCAAAATGAAATAATTAAAAATGAATAAAATATAATAATTTCTTATTCAAACGTACGAATATGATAGCATTATTTGCAATATTTAATAATGTTAAAATAAATTGTGCATAAAATAAAATTGCATTACAATCATAAAAGTTATTATTAACACATCTAGTTACCAACCTTGTTAATTTTAAAAATACACACACATTTTCTCTGCTATTATTAGTTACTGAAACAGTCTCTTGTCGACTGCTAATCAAACTAAATTACCAAATAAATTGAATGGACGAGATATTATCATGTTAAAGGAACATATAAATCAAACAGTACCTATGCTTATTTTGTAAAATCATTATAACATTATTAAGTAAATTGATAGCTAATTTCAAAATACAAGTATATATAAGAACATGGATTTTTTTCAAACGCATACGTTAAAAGACTATTGTTTAAATATTCAGACGTTAAATGCGATAAGAGAGAGTTGATGATGTTTAAGAACACGTTGAAAATAACGTTGTTAATCTGTTACGAATAAAGAAGAAATTTAATATCTTCTATAATTTCATCGGATAATTTAAACGATATTGTGGTTGGTAACTTGACTAGATGTGTTAATAATAACTTTTATGATTGTAAGGCATGCAATTTTATTTTATGCACAATTAACATTATTAAATATTGCAAATAATGCTTATCATATTCGTACGTTTGAATAAGAAAATTATTATATTTTATTATTTAACAAGTTAATATTCGAAGGGTTAATATACGCAGGTATAAGAGGATAGAGATTTTCATATGCCGTGATAATATTTTGGTTCCTTCGTTCGGGTCATGATGTAACATGAGATATCGTATTTCATCGAAAATGTTTCATTATATATATCGAGTGTCGTAATTATGTATCCTATAAGTCATCGAGTGCTAGGATTTCTTTATAGCATAATTTTAGGATCTTAGCTTCGTTTACTTACTCTGAATATGATTTATTCAAATTAGCTGGAAATATGTGATGTATATAATAATATTTCTAATTAGATATTCAAAAAAGTATTAAATTATTTTTTATCGAAAGAGATTATCTGTTTCAATTGTGATAAATTGAATTGCTGATATTTTGCAATCTTTTTTAAAAAGCGATTGGTTATATGTGTAAATATAAAAACTTATTATTAAATTTGAATTAAAATTATTCGATAAATCGTGCACTTAATTTTGCAATTAAAGAAAAAAGTGTTTAAATAATTAATTAAGATAATTATAAACATACATTTAATATAATGCGTGGCGCATGCAAGATATTTTATACTGCATTCTATACTCTTGTATTAGCAATAAACAAATAATACCGTTTTATAAATTTTTGCACTTTGTGCAATAAAACTATTAATAATTAAATTACTTTCTTATTTTTTCATTTCTAAATTATCTTCTTTAATACGAATATAAAGTTTAACTATTTTGTAAGATGAGAGTTTATGATAATTATTAGATTGATGATTCATGCATTTCTTAGTGCCAACATTTACCACATCGCTACAATTGCTCATTTCTTGGCTGTTTTATATTATATTTCTATTTTAATTATAAGCTTATCAACATATTGCGCAACATATTCTTCAATCGTAACGCAATTTAACAATTTAACACCGGCGATATATATGTAAGATATATAATATTTACTTTTTAATATTTTAAAAATGACATTAACACACGATAATGCTGTAGCTTAATTTAAAATAACGCTGTAAAATAACTCTTTTAAAATTTTTATACCTCAAATTATTAGACTGATACTCCCCAAGTCAATAAATATTATTAGCGAATCATATATCAAAACAACAATTGATTATGTAATGTACAAATTATATCTAGTAATGCTAGAGTTATGTTAGATATAAAGATAAATACATATTATAAATTTCGAGTTAATCTCCTTTAGGATTTTGTGTTTTCCCGTGTAACATAATACTTTGACGCCCTGTCCAGCCTTATCGGCATCACATACGCGTTGGGTTACCGTGCATTCCATCCACGAATATGCATGCGATTGAACGGTAGGGGTAAAACGAGGAGACCACTATCGCGTGGAGAAACCTAGCGCCTTCCCTAATACGGCCTCGCGACTCGCTTGCACGCGTCTGCACGGATATAGAATCGCCCGCGTTCTCTCTCTCTC